CGAGGATTGGATACAATGTCTGCGAAGAGCGGATCCCAAAGATATACTCAAATATGAAGCGCCTTTTGCCTCATTCCCGGTGTTTGGCACAGAGTTTCTGCCAATTCGTACGCAACAAGCTTTTAATGAGAAAAAGTTTAACACGGGTACTTTAATTAATTAATCATATTAAATTACACTTATACATTAATTATATTAATACTTAATTTTTAATACTTATATCAAATTTATTTATTCAAAGATATTGATATAATCGCTGGTATTGTACGCAATGAGGGCGCAATGTTACCTGGCTTTGTTATCAAAGACCCTGCTCATATGACACTCACTGACTTTCATAACGGGTTAAGTGCGTTGGACTCGTCGATCGGATTACACAACATAAATGCACCAAAAGTAACGGCACATTACCTGAAAGGTGTCAATACTAGCGATTCACTGGCTCTACGACAAGCTTTTAGCGCATTAGCGGGTGATTTAATACTCGGTTGTCCGACATATCTGTTCGCCAAACGGTTCGCACAAACTGTCAAAGAGTCGCAAAGGGTTTACTTTTACGAGTTGTTGTACGCGAGTGAGTTTTTTGCCAAATATGTTGGTTGCGATATAAAGACCATGGGCGTTTGTCACGGCATGGAAGTGCCCTATGTGTTTGGTTTACCACTTTTTGATCCTGATCATTCCACTCCAGAAGATATATTTTATGCCAATTATATAATGAAAATGTGGACAAAGTTTGCCACCGATGGGTAAATAACATTGTTATTATTTAGCCAAACATTCATTGTATATCTTATATCTTTACATGGTTTAGTTTTAGAAACTTATATTTTAGTATCTGTAATTAAAGTAATGATATACAAAAATTCTTTATAATAATTATAGACATTTGAACCGTGATTGGCCGCAACTCTTAAACGATGACCCGAGCGGTGCGCCCAAAGTCCACGGTTTGGACCCAAAGAACTTACCCCTAGTATTAAAAGACCCGTTTCATGAAACTTGTGACGGCGTGTGGGCCGACTACTTTCTATAAATAAATGTACATAGTGCATACTATGAATAAAATAATTATACAAAATTTTGCTATTAATTATTTAGTTAATCATTATGTATTATTTTGCAATCTGTCATTCTCTCGTTGTTCTTGTTAATATTATATTACATGTAATTTCAAATAAAAAAAATTTTTATTGCTAAATTATTTATATTTTATGTGTTTGTATAATTAATTTAACAAAATATTCTTTAAAATGTGTCAACACAAGTTAAAACATGATGGTATCAAAATTATTTATATAACTAATCTAAACATAATTTATTTTAAAATATTTTTATTTTCTCTCTAATTAACCAAACCTTAATAAATTATACATAAAAATAAAAACTCAGATAGATAAATATTTTTTTAAAATGTTTATTATAATCATAAACATGATGTCAAATAATTGTATTAAATTTCATTATAATTATAGTTATTAACAAATATATTGTATGTTGTGTACATCAATTATTCCCAATCAATTAATTTAATAATAATAAAATACTCTTGGTTAAATATAATTATGTTTATTTTAAATAAAAAATGAAATGCAAATATTGAAATACGATAAAAATATAAATTTAATTTGCATGATATTTTAAATCAAATAAAATTCAATGCACTAACCGTAATAAAAATAAAACATAAATATTAGATTATTATTATT